TTCAACTGTAGAAAGGGAATGTTTGGCCATTGTATGGGGCGTAAATAAATTTCGCCTATATTTAGCCGGTGTGGAGTTCATTTTGCAGACGGATCATAAACCAATGTCTTACCTAGATAAAGCCAAGTTTGCAAATGACCGAGTGATGAGATGGGCGATGACTCTGCAAGGATATAGTTATCGTGTTGAGGATATTCCTGGACAGGACAATGTGGTAGCGGACTACCTGAGTAGATTGATGGACTGAGGAACTTTTGAACAGTATAGTAGAATGTTATTATTGTATTCAGAGCTTTATTCAGTTCGATTTGATATATTGTATTGTTGTTTTATTTGAAAATGTTATCGTATTCGTATTATTGACGTCGTTGCTAGTCATGTAATATTATATGTTATAATATTCTTGAGAGGGAGGCATGACGCATACGACTTATTTACCACTTCCGTGTTACTGAGAATGTTCTAGAACCGTACTGTGTCTGGGTGGAATATTCTAGATTTTTTTTAGAAACTGGTCGAATAGGTAATAAAACACTGTAGAAGGCAATAGAAGGTAATGGAACATTCTAGAAATTTGTAGTAAATTCCAGACTCATTATGTATGCTGATGTAATGGTCTATGTATGGACAGTGGGGGTATATATAGGGGAGCACTGATTTCATATCTGAGATCTCGTTGAATGGTATTGGAGTTTAAGTATCTAGTCATTGGAGTAGTGGAGTTTTACCGCGTTATTGTACTTGATGTTTGCAGAGTATAATAATACTACCAGTTGAAACCTCATCTGTTGGCTCCGTGTTCGTATTTTATCATCGCCGCCAGGAAAGTCTTTCTGTTACTGTTGCCATTTTGGTATTTGAACCATCACACTTGTACTATACTAATTACGGTAATATTACGTTGCGTGTGACACTATCAATAATAAGTTTTTATGTCACATTTTTCGCCAAACAAACTGACACCAGATTGCAATTGAAGATATCAAGGCGACCGCGACATTTCACTAGAATCCACGAGCTTTTGAATTATGAATGTAAATTCATTCCCATAATTGTTGTTACCCTGGCAAGCAGAATACGTCTATACCGAAATTTAATGTATTTTTGTACTTTTTGAGATAAAAAAACAACAAAAATATGAAAATTTCCGAAAATTCTGTTCATGGCAACCGGAAAAAAAGTCTACCAAGATTGAATGGATTCGTTCTTTTACCAAGCGCGACCCCTCCTAAAAATTAATAAAAAAACATCTATATTATAGAAAATAGAACACTAGGGATAATCTTCTTCTACATATATATTTTAATTAAAATGTTTGTTTTTTTTAGTTTATTATATATCTCACACCGAAAATAATAGAATTCATACGTCTGTAAAACGCCGTACGGACATGGTCAAGGTACTACGGGCACGTGCGAATTATTCCTTATTTGCGTCTTTTTTTTTACAAAATATTGGAACACTTTTCTTTTTTGTGCTTACATCGGACGCAGAAGCGCTATAGCTCGTGGCACGTGTTCAATCAAAATATGTATTGCGTGCGTGACTCAAACCGACAGTTTCATTACACAGCTTAGGCATACTTCTGTAACAGCTTGGTCGGTGCCATCCTGTCAAGTAGTATGGTAAATCAGGTCATGGTTCATTTGCTTTGGAAAACACATTTGCTTCAAGCAGAGCTGGCAACCTTTTATTGTTTTCCCTAGTGATAACAATCACGAAAGTTGCATATTACAATGTCGAAATGCATATAATAAATCAATTTGGTCATTATAAGAAGATGGCACATTGAAACGTGTATTTACCTTTATATCTGAATGTGATTATGTGCTCTTTTATTTATTATCCTGAGAAGGATTTGATACAAAGTGCATTTAAACTATGCATCATTTTGTAAATTATGGAGGTCAATAGATTATGCAAATTAGCATTTGGTATATATGATATTACTAACATTGCAGCATCATCAGCTACAGTTCGGAATTCAAAATGATATTTGGTGGTAACAAAGAAATCCGAGTAAGGTACCGGACTATTTTCCATTATAAATCCGCTTTGCCCCAGCTTATGTCGTACCAAGTCACCAACTACCAGATAGCCACTTCAACCTACGTTAGTAATTCGCACAACATGCTTACTTCGTACCACAATGTCGTTTCCTAATACAAAATTTGCTCGATCAACATGAAAGGAAAAAAAACAATCGAGGGATTTGGGACAACAGGAGCAACAACAACAACAACAACAACAACAACAATAACAACAACAACACGTGTTATACGAAATGACTTTAGACGTGGTGACTTCTGATACGAAGTGACTTGGAACGAGGTGGTTTTAGTTTGATGTGATTCCATGGTAACTATCCACGACTTAACTGCTGTTGTGATTAATATATACTATGGTCGTGTGGTCAGCGAATGGCACTGTGAAACCAATCCGAATACTGAAATATTCAAGCTGTAAGTTAGGATTCCTACCACTACTATAAAAAATAGCGCTAGATTTCAATTTTACAAGCAAATGGCTTTTTTTATGAAAGTAGTGTCCTCCATGTTGATATTATGATTTTAATAAGCGTGATATTTTGGTGAATTGACAAACGTATGTGCACCTCAAAGCATTTTGATATATGTTACATTACTTCTTAGATGTATGTGGAAAGTTGACATTAAATGGCAATGTGTCACACACAGAGGACATAATGTAGAGAAACCAGTGATCGAAGTGCATAGCTTAATGACTCAGTTTGCCATTGTTGAGTTCAACATTTCCCTGACTCAACATTATTTACAAACTGGCTCATGAATTTCCGTCCACATATTCAAATCTTAATGTTAAGCCATTTTGAATTTAATTGATTAAATATTTTCGATATTATAATGGAAATTACCATTAAAATAAGTCAAAATATAGGTGACCCTGTTCTTTAATGGAGAAACCAATTATGTCGTAGTTTCGTAGGCTATAGATGGTTTGGACTTCAAAGCCAATTCGTGTCCAAGAGCAGAAACTTGGCGAGAGGCAGTATCGACATTATGAAAGGGGTAGTCGCGTGCTACAAAACATCGAACACAAGCACCCATTCTCAGAAACATAAAAAAGTCATCGAACTCTTCGCAGCAACAAGATGTTCGACAAAAACGTGCTTTTAAACCTATAAACAAACCTGCGTATGGTGAATCCATGCGTGTAGCCGTTATGCGCATGTGCGAGCTTTGCGATTGTTAAAACTTCTAGTCTGGTCCCCTGCCCCAATTTCAACGCTGAGGGAGGTTACCTATTTTTTCTTAACCGCCCTCAGCGTTGAAATCGGGGCAGAGGACCAGAGAATAAAACTTCGAGTTGCCTTTTCCGACGGAAAAAACAAGAACGTGCTATTTATACGCATGCGTGAGTTTTGCTCGATTGCCTTTTCGATGGTAATAACATTACAACGTGACACGTTTCCGATAGTAGTATTCTTAAGTTCAAAGGATCCTCTCACTATGTGACGTAGACCCATAGACTTGGTCAAAATTTCAACAACACTGGGAAAATAGCCCACAGTTTACAACGGGTATGTGGCATTCCCCTTCCCGGGTCGACGAACGTTTTGTACCAACTAACCACAGCAATGTCACGCATGCGTTGTGGAATACGTAAGTATGACCTGAAG